AATCATGCCCTAACCAAGTTTGAACTTGATAATATACACGTTCAAAATGTTGATGAGCAGCTGCACTTGTTGGTGGAAAATTTGCAAGCTGAACAGGTTTATTAAGTTTTGTAGACTTAACGTAATGAATATAACGAAGATGATCGAGACTTTTCACAGATTTCGGAGCATTATAGACTGCCAGTAAGATTTGAGTTCCACTCTCTAATAATCTCTGGGTCTAACAATTTTCTTCCTCAAATGCTTTAGCTAGTTCATCCAAATTTGTCAGTTTCTCAAAAACTTTTAAAAATGTTTTTTTCCCCTTTTTAAAAAGCCCAAAGTTGTGTCACATCCACTTAATGCGTGCAGAAATAAAATATGGTTTTGGAATGAGGATAATTATCAAAACTTTTAGTCGAGTATATCTCCGTTTTTACGTTTAGTAAGAACGTAAAAGCTATGGAGCAGCTGAGAAGAACTGCACTTTCAAAATCATATGATGTTTCGATAAAACAATAGTTGTACCAGTTCTCAAGAATTTTTTTTATCAAATCAAAATAATAAAATTAGGCTAATTAACATGTTAATAGAAAATTTAAAGGCTGCAAATATAACTACAAAACAAGCCAGAGATGATGCGGATGTCCTTATTGTTGAAAGTGCAATTCAAGAATCAATGTCTGGAAAATCTGCAATTATAATAGGACAAGATATTGATTTACTCGTCATTTTAATTGGGCGTACCCTGTCCCACGAAAAAGAAATTTTCTTAAAAAAGTTGGGACAGGAAATGTAAAAACGGAGATATACTCGACTAAAAGTTTTGATAATTATCCTCATTCCAAAACACATATTTTATTTCTGCACGCATTAAGTGGATGTGACACAACTTTTGGGCTTTTTAAAAAGGGGAAAAAAACATTTTTAAAAGTTTTTGAGAAACTGACAAATTTGGATGAACTAGCTAAAGCATTTGAGGAAGAAAATTGTTAGACCCAGAGATTATTAGAGAGTGGAACTCAAATCTTACTGGCAGTCTATAATGCTCCGAAATCTGTGAAAAGTCTCGATCATCTTCGTTATATTCATTACGTTAAGTCTACAAAACTTAATAAACCTGTTCAGCTTGCAAATTTTCCACCAACAAGTGCAGCTGCTCATCAACATTTTGAACGTGTATATTATCAAGTTCAAACTTAGTTAGGGCATGATTTGAAACCAAAGGTATGGGGTTGGGCAATGCGAAACGATTTTCTGGAGCCTATCATGACAATTTTACCACCTGCTCCAGAATATTTGCTAAATACAATTTTCTGCAACTGCAAGAGTGGTTGTGGTTCGCGATGCGGATGCAGGAAAGCGGGCTTGCAATGCTCTTTAGCTTGTGGCCAATGTGTAATGGACAAGCTTGTTTCAATGCTTTACCATACCAGAGCGACATTAACGAAGATGGAACTTTTGATACCGAAATTATGGAAGAAATTGAGACAAATGACGTTGAAGACGACAATGAAGACCAGTCTGAAATTCACCAGCAGCCGGAAGACGACGATGAAGAGGAAGAAGATGATTAAAATTATTAATTGTAGTTTTGTACCCTTTATTTCATTTTATTACTTTGAAAAAAATAAATGTATAAAATAATATTTTTTAATAAAAAGATAAATTCCTAATTTAATTGTTTTTTTATCATGTAAGAATTTATTAATATTAATTAGGTTTAAATTTAAATATAATTCTTATATTAACAATTCTGCAATTTAATGGGCAGGTAAGTGTTGTTAAATAAATTAATACTGAATAAAAAGTGGATAGGTTAGGAAAAAATGACAAAATATAATAAAATAGTTAATAAAAATTGACAAATGTTTATAATCATTAATCTAGCGATAGTTCATCAACTATATATGGCGCGTTTTTGACCGAAGGCATCGGTTGACCTGAAGGGATGCTATGACCGCGCGCTCTCCGCCCTCTATCTCGAAAACGGTTCACCGTATGAAAAAAATTTTCAAACAAAATTTGTAGAGAATTTTGTATTCTACAATATTGATAATAAACATAAATAGCAAAAAACCCATAGGAAATGAGATAATTACAAAAAAGCGAAAAACCGCGATTTTTGTGACCTTTGACCCCGAAATTTAATAGTTGCGCACACCCTACCATATGTAGGTTTTGAGACAACATTAAGGGTGTCAATATACAACTATTTACAAAGTTACAGCTGGGTATCTCACATTACGAGATTCTTGCCTAATTTAACCTAAGATGACTGGGCTAAGCGGAAGTTTTAGCTAAAGCACAAACTATTTGCATAACATTAGATGTTTGGACTTCTAGGATTACTGAAGCATATGTGGCAGTTTCAGGCCATTACATTACAGACAATTATAACTTAAAAACTGTTGTTCTCGGATGCTGTCAATTTGAAGGAGCGCATACATCAGAAAATCTAGCAATAGAAATTCGAACAATCCTTGACAATTGGAAATTGCTTCAGAAGGTAAATTTTGCCATTAGTGATAATGCCAGTAACATGAAATATATATATATATATATATATATATATATATATATATATATATATGTATATGTATGATCCTCTGAAACCGTTTTTTTCATCGCTCCGCGAGCTATTGTATGCCCAGCTGCTCTCTTTTTCATTACAATACGTCACGCACATGACCTTTTTAATGTGCCAGCATCTTTGAACACCATGGTGTATTAGTACATTAAATTAAATGGTGTATTTAGTACATTATATTGAAAACTTTAAATACGTTATTCTCAAATTGACTTTTTTCAATGCGGTGCCTTTCATTCCGACTGATATTTATACTATTCAAATAATGTTTTTTTTTGTTTGAGCGACAATGTGGCGTATTCTTCGCGGTGTCAAATCTTTTATTTGCTTACGTCTCTTTATATTTAACTCCATTATTATCTTCTCGTTTCATAAAATATTTCACACGATGTTAATTTAATATTGTGAATTAACCTTCTAAAGTATAATTTTTTATTTGTTTGATTAGTTCAAGACGCCGTCGCCAATCCCAATTTATTTAATGTTGGTATCATACATAAATAAGCATATTGTTGGTATCATGATAATATTTTGCATTATTAGTTGGTGAGTCTGTGCCATCATACACAAGTTCATGTCAAAACAATACGTGCTTTAAGCAATGAAAATTAAGCCTCGTTCTATTCATCATGTAGCGTCGAAAGTGTTCGTATTGAGAGCAAGCTATACACAGTACATTTAGCTACATTTGTTACAGTTATATATTAATTAAGAGGGAGACATTTGTAAATATAGAAATAGCTGAGGAAGATGTTGGTTCTGCCGAAGGTAATTTAATACTTAAGCTTATACTCATGTGCAGTAGCGGCGCGAGGCGTCGGCGGTGTCGGCGGCCGCCGACGGCCTCGCGCCTCAGGGGGTCTCGCAAGGGCCTCGCAAAATTTTTAATTTTTTCAAAATTAATTTTTCGATATTATTCAGTATTTCCGTATCGCTGCGCGAGCGAAGAAAGTGATTAGTGCCTTACTGGCACAATCAATATTGCCTGTCAACACCATTGATTATTAAATCTAAACAACAGCACGCGAGACGATGGATCCTCGATTTGTTTATATTTTCGTATTTCTTAGGAGAGCATAATGTAAACAATCTTTCCTTCAATTAAATCAACACTTTCATATTATATCGTCTAGACAAAATTTCTTTTTAGTGCGTTGTGTAAAGTGATCGAGTTAGTACCTTGAAGTTTTAGTGAAAAAAGTGTTTTAAATTGTGATTTGGATCATATTTTTAAGTTTATAAGGTAAGTCAATTACAACTTCTATAATTACTTTAAATATAATGATTTTATCGACATCAATATGTATAAATACTTATATTATTTCGCAAATATTATGTATTTTTCAACACAAATCGAAATAAACTCGGTGTAAGTGGCAATTGCAAAAGCACCCAACATATGTAAATAATCGGCTTAATGAAAAGGAAATCAGATTTAGCAAACTGAGAAGTTAATACTTCGAATTTCTGAATCGGCCGATAAACTTTAAGCGGTTTTTATAATTAACTTTTTTATGTCTATAATATTTCAATATGTTTGTTAAAACTATATCATCATACAAGTTTTATCAAAATTTTCAATATATTTATTCACCACTTAATTGCGATCACAAGACAAAGAGTTTTCATAATGAGTTCACAAACGATTCATAAATTTTGGAAATCGTGGAGCCGTTGCTTAGGAAACGTTAGCTAAAATTCTAATTTTTGTATCGCGTACAAATACGTTGGATTCTGAATCGTTTGAAATTGGAAGAAGTATGAATGTTTGTGTGAGCATCTGAGCAAAACTTTACCTTTTGTCGGTGTTATCACAATTTGATGAAATTTTTTTAAAACTTGCGTTGATTAATTTTGCAGGACAATTGTCTGAGCCCTTTCTTAAGTTAGCAAAAAAAATTCAAAATTTTTTGTGCACGTTTTGTATAAAAATACTGAAGATATCAGCCGGGGCATTTTTTCGTAATCAATTGTGAATTTTTTTTTGGAGAAACTTTTATACATGGGCCTCCGACAAGTGATTTAACTATAAAAATACATTATTTTGGAATAAAGATCCAAAGATCAAGTCTTCTTGCGTTCCACGTGCGTGTTTCGAACAAACTATTTATTGCAATTACAAAATAATTAATCTAATTATTTAATTGGAAATTATATTGATTTGTTTTTAGGGTAAGAAAACCAATTAAAATTTTTATTTATTTGTTTAAATCTGAATTCTTATTGATTAAGTAGATTATTTATACGTATTAGGTTCATGAAACATTATTCTAGGTATAACAACACCTGCTAGTTCCAATTTTGTTGTCAAACGATTAAGAACATGGAATGTCGATAAACCATACAATGAGTGAATCGAATTTATTAGTGAAAATAAACTTCTCTTTTGAGATAATGCTTTAATTTCAGTATTTTTCTAATTAAGGTCATCATGTCTGGAGGATCATCTAGAGACAGAGATATAGGTAGAAAATGGGAATCCGGCGCATTAAAAAGAAAAAGAAATGCTGTAACTGTTATGTCTAATCAAGCTCTGAGTTTAAGTATGATGAAATTTCTCAAGAAATCTTCAGCTGGTGTCACCGTTTCACGGTCACCCGAAGAAACTTCAGTTTCAGAGGTATCATCAAACGAAAATTTAGCTGAAAGTTCGTTACCTGGAACATCAGGCGAATCTGCTATGATCCAAGTGTCCGAACCCAATAAAGAGTTGGAAAGTGAAACGATGTGTGATTCAAAAAATCAAGTACAAGAAGTTCATTTAAAAGAGTCATTTATAGACTTAGATCCAGGAAAGTGGGTATTGCCATTAAACAATGCACAACGTCATGACCTAATTCAAAACGGACTCAATCAAAATTTAGGGATATCTGATGAAAGTTCCCCAAAAGACGCAAATAATAGACATTTTTCCAAATTTCATTTCACTCGAAAATTAAGTAACGGCGAAACGCAACATCGCAGATGGCTAGTTTACTCCATTTTTCAAGATAAAGTTTATTGCTTTCCATGCAGACTTTTTTCACATTTACAGACACAGGTAGTTATGGAAGGATGTTGTGACTGGAAAGATTTGAGCCGAATATTACAAAGACATGAACAAAGCCAAGGACACATGGAATGCATGATTAAATGGATGGAATTATATAAAGGAATAAAACACGGAAAAACAATAGATAAGGATAATGAAAGATCGATTAAAGACTCGCAAAGGTACTGGTTTAACTTATTTGAAAGAATGATTGATATAATAAACTACTTAGCTGTACACAACTTATCATTTAGAGGCCATCGGGGAATCTCTTAAATTTAGCAATCGCGGGAATAGTGGTAATTTTTATAGATTTATTCAAGTTGTTATCGAAATATGATTCGACCCTACGAGAACACATGCATCGTATTAATGAAAAACAACTAACGCAACATTATCTGAGCCATGACATTCAAAATGAACTGATTGCGTTAATGTCTAAGTCGGTAGTTGATGAAATCATAGGAAGAGTTAAAAAAGCAAAATACTACGCCTTCTTGCTCGATTGTACTAGGGATGTCAGCCGCGTTGAACAAATGTCCATAATTTTAAGATTTTGTAACTAAACAAGAGAAATAGAGGAACATTTTATTGGTTTTATTGCCGTCGCAGAAACAACGGGAGAGTACATAACAAAATCAATACTACAAGAATTAGACAGAAATGGGCTAGACATTCAAAACTGTCGAGGGCAGGGGTATGATAATGGCGCTAATATGGTCGGTATTAATAAAGGTGTCAGAACAAGAATACTCGATATAAATCCGAGAGCATTCTTTACGCCGTGCGGATGCCACAGCTGGAACTTACTTTTAATTGATGCCGCTAAATCTTCTGGAACAGCAAAAAAGTTTTTTGGTTTTATTAATAAAATATTTGTGCTGTTTGCAAAATCAAGTAAGCGTTGGGACATCGTTAGAATGAAATTAAAATTGATATTAAAACCTCTTTCTGAAACGCGATGGGAAAGCAGAATCGGAGCTGTAAAAGCAATATTTCTGCAATTTGATGATGTCATAGAATGTTTGAATGAGCTGCAAACTATAAGTGATGATTCGGAAACTCTAAGCGACTGTGACGCAGTCTTGAACAAAATAATGAGATTTGAATTTATTGTTGCGATACACGTATGGTACGAGATCTTACTACGTATCACCAATATAAGCAAACTATGGCAATCAGTTCAAGTCAATGATACTTTACGGTCATTTTGCAGCTGGATTCACGAATTTCGCAACACAGGTTTTGAGAATACTGTAACTCAAGCTCGATTATTTGTAGAAAAAAGTAACTTCAAAATAGATTCAAACTTTAAAGAAAGGAGATTAATCAGAAAAAAACAAATAAATGAACCCATTCAATCTTTGGAAAAGCAGTACAGAGTTAATTTTTTTAATATATGATCGATGCCATTTATAGTCGACACCGAATGTCGATTTAAAGCACTTAATAACTATTACGAGCAATTCGGTTTATTTATGATATCAATTATTTAAATACTATTTCAAAAGAAGATCTTCTCAAACATTGTAAAAACTTGGGCACAATTCTCCGACAAAACGAACATAGTGACATACAACCATTTGAATTATACGAAGAACTGCAACTATTGAAAATGAATATACCAGAGTCTGTAAAAAACGCGAAAGAATTACTTCAATACATGATAAAAAATAATTTAGAAGAAATATATCCAAATGTTTATATAGCAGTCAGAATTATGAACACAGTTCCAATTAGCACAGCTTCCACAGAGAGAAGTTTCTCTAAGTTAAAATTGATTAAAACGTATTTGAGAAGCACTATGAGCCAAGAAAGACTATCTGCATTATCCGTTTTATCAATTGAAGCTGAAATAGCAGGTAGTATTAGCTATGAGGAAATAATTAAAAGGTTCAGCGAGGCAAAAAGCCGAAAAGTTAGATTATGTTAGATTATGTAATATTTGTTTATTAAATTATTTATGTTATTTATGTCATTGTTTATGTTATTACTTTTTTGCAATAAATTTCATTTTATCATACATTAGTTTTACTATAATTAAATTTTTGTAATTCAACATTTTCCTAAAAAAAAAGGGGGGGGGCCTCGCAAACTAATTTCGCCGACTCCTGCGGATGGTCTAGCGCCGCCACTGCTCATGTGTATATTAAGTATATTGATTGTAATAACAACTTTATTACAGAAAGAAGCTCTCTTCTGAAAGTTTCGTTGAAAGGTGGAGTAGTCAACAGAACAATAACTTAAGAGATTGGGCCAATCACAAGTAATGATAATGATTTTAAATTTTATTAAGTATAAATATTTTTCAAATTTAATGGCTATTATTAACTTCCCGTAGGGCAAGTTATAGTAATCGCAAAAAAATCGAAAATGAAAATTTTTATATATCTTTACGTTTCAGAGGTTTCTGAACATTTTGGCATACCTTAGAAAAAATGGATGTATGTGTGTGTGTGTGTGTGTGTGTGTGTGTATGTGTGTGTTTTTTTTTTTTTTTTTTGTATAGCGAAGGAAATGCTTTTATGCATCCCAGACCGGTCTTCTGTCTGGGTATGTCGGACTCGATACCGCCCTGGTATAATACCGACTAAAACCTCCGCTTTGCCCCTGCCTCTGGTCCCACGGAAACCGCCGCTAGGCATTACTTCGTGGGGGGAGGATCTAGAATGTTACAATTCTTAACTTGTTATAAACAATGTTATAATTCATAAACATTTTACTTATCTTTCAAATGGGCAAAGTCCCATTCGCCCTTTCTCTCTCTATAGAACGCAGGTCCATTAAAACGTCTCTCGCAATCTGTCTATGGCGTTCCAAGCAGCTTCACTTGTCAGCATCACTTCAACAACATTACCTGGGGTAATTGTGCGTCTCAATGTCTCCTCCACATCATCCCGTAGAGCACCAAATCGCGGGCACACGAAGAACACGTGCTCAGCATCTTCGATTTCGCCCAAACAATATGGGCAATCCGGCGAGCTATCGTGCTTGAATCGGTGTAGGTAGGCTCGAAAACAGCCATGCCCCGATAGCATTTGCGTAGTATAATAGTTTACTTCGCCGTGCTTGCGACTTAGCCAGACTTTGATGTTAGGAATGAGACGATGCGTCCATCTGCCCTTTACAGCGACATCCCACAGTCGCTGCCATCGGTCAATGCTGTTCTGCCGTTCTTCTAATCTTAACTTTTCAGTACACAGTTGTTGATGTCTTCTATGGTAAATTGTCCGTCTTTCCTCTGCTAAGACTAAGAGAGGCACAGTTCCTGAAATGACGCACACTGCTTCCGCCGATATTGTGCGAAATGCGCAAGCAATTCTTATAGCACTGAGACGGTATAAGGGCCCTGCCATTCTCCTCGATTTTTGAGATTTAAGAGCATCACCCCATATGGAGATACCATATGTCAGCACTGAAGTAATAACTGACGATAGTAATATCCTTCTGGTTTGTTTAGGACCTCCAATATTAGGCATCAGTCGAGCAAGTTTCGTCCTAACTATTGACGCCTTAGCACTAACGTGTTCCACCTGTTGATTGAAATTCAAACGAGCATCAAGCATTACGCCAAGGTAACAGATGTGAGGTTTTGACGTGATCTCAAGATTTCCTATCTTTAGCTTGATGGTCTCAATTCTTTTCCTACTAGTGATAAGAACAGCTTCACTTTTTTGTTGTGCTAATTGGAGATTCATTGTTCCCATCCACCGATTAATTTTTCTGAATGTAATATCGAATAGGCTTACGATGTCATCAATTTGTTGGAGACAACCACTATGGCAACATCGTCTGCATATGCTACTAGTTTCACACATTCTGGAAACTCTAGTCTCAAAAGGCATCATACATAATATTCCACAGCAAAGGGCCTAGAACAGAGCCTGTGTATGTGTGTGTGTATGTATGTATGTGTGTGTATGTATGTGCGGATACAAATTTTCGTCGACGATTTCGGGAACACGGATCAACCGATTTGAATAATTCAAAAAACATTCGATTCGTATTGATAAGGAGACGTGCTGATTAGTTTTTGGCAAAGGCAGGTCTAGCCGTTCCGAAGATACGGGGCAAAAAGTTCCGAAAACGGTAACTCAGTTTTAAGAGAACGGAGCGTCCGATTTTAATAATTCAAAAAACATTTTATTTGTATTGACAAGATGAAGAATCGATACAACTTTCATGAAGGTAGGTCCAGCGGTTTCGGAGATATAGAGGAAAAGGTAAAAAATGAGCCATTTGGCGGTCAAAAATGATCATTAGACATATGCACATCAAATTATCAGATATTTTATAGAGATTTTAACAATAAGTATACATTTTGTTAACATTACTATGGGTTCCGTACCAATGCTTATGCGTTACACAGCAACGCGGCGCTTACGCGCTTTATATTTTGTCCCTATGTAGTTAAAGCAGTACGATTGCTTTGAAAAAAAGTTCAGATCTTCCACAATATGTCAAAATAAAGAAAAAAAAATTTTTTTCAAAAAAAAATATTTTTAAAAAAAAATTTTTTTTTAAAAATTTTTTTTTTCAAAAAAAAACTAATTTTTGTCCAATTTATAGTTTCTCAAAAATCTTATTTTTCAAAGTATTTTTTTTCAAAAATGTTAATCGTTTTTAAAAAAAATTATAATTTTTGGTACGGGAAGTTCCAGCAATTTGCCTTAAGGCACGATGCCCTAATTGCCTTAAGATAGAATTCCACTTACAGCTAGTTTTTATCATAGCTCCTCAAAGCAATAGGAAGAGGGAGGTGTTTGTGGGAGCAGAACAAGTTCAGGAGCGTGTTGGTGCTGCCAAAGGTGATTTAATACTTAAGTTTGTTCTCATGTTAGTAAATTAAATATGTTGATTGTAATTACCATATAACAATTTTATTACAGAAATAATCCCTTCTATGGCGGATACATATTCCACTCTTCAAGGTAAGTTAACATAATATTCAATACAATATATATATTCTAATTTTTATTTGTTTTTTAGCCACTGTTGATCATATTTTGAAAAGAGTGATCATCTTAGAGGGGAAAATCAGCGACCAAGACAAGGCTTCGACTCAGGTAAATTCCCTCAAAAAGAAGACGAATGTGTTTGATAAATTGTTTTCTTTGAGGACTGTGGAATAAAAATTAGCTAAAGAAAAATCAGAAGTGATAGAAACTGATCTGGTAAAAAATATATGAAATTATTTAAAAAAATGCAATTACATGCGATAATCAAAGCATGTTTTTAAATTGCAGTTTGGGCGTGATCCCAAATATCACATTGCCAATACATTGAGCAGAATAATGTCTGCGGACAATTTAGCCATGAAATATTCATGCCAGCCATAGTCAAAAGTAATAAATGCAGTATAACAGCTTATATATTGTATGCATATTGAAATGTAGTGTATTTGCGATTTAATTGTTTAAAGGTGTAATTTGTGACCAAATAATGCTTGGCGGAAAACGTGTTCGATAAACTAATAAGTGATTGGCTGCGATTCGCCACGCAGAGACATGAGAGGGCGTTGAAAAAAGAAATTACAATAAATTTAAATAATAAATAAAATTGAATTTTGAACGTACTTCAATTGCCAGCAAGTAAATCATACATCAACTGTCAACAAGTAGAACCGTACATCAACTGTCAACAGCGTGTCAAATATTTTGGCGGATCTTTTTCGTGTTGCGACGCGTCGGTGTAGTTTGTTCTCAAGTGAGATTTTTCTTGTTTATTAATATTATTACGTTCTTTTTAATTAATTCTTTTTTCTATTTACATTTATGTTTATAATCTCTTTATAATCTATAGCTACCATGTGATGGGACTCGATATGACCATGAAGATTTATGTATTTGGAGAAAAGGGAGGAACAGTCAGGAAAAGGACATCTTATTCTACTAGCTCTTGAAGGAGTAGTATTTGAAACATTTCATAGTAAGAAATTTTATTTTCTCATAATTTATATCTGTAATTGCTCAATTATCTACATTTTTGCTTTTGTTGCCAGATTTTCAACTTTGGAAATCTGGACATGGAACAACAAAACCAATGACTGCAAAGAAGTTTATTTTAATTGTACCAGGTCGTACACTTATGAGCAGAATAAAACCAAACAAATTTTTACCAAAGATCTTTTAAAACTGGATATACTTGCCCCTCGAGAATCATCTGCACTATTGATGACAATGGTAAAGTTACAGTTCAGTTCTGGAGAATACATATAGGGCATACTAAACCAGTTAAATATATACCATTAGATAAACAGTTAAAAGAAAATATCGAGGATAAGTTTTTAGCCACCTTGCAGGATTGTTAAATAAGATTCCTTTAATAATTATTGTAATTCTGGTCTTTGTCGATGAAATTATAGCAGGAGTTTCGAAAGCCAACATTCTTAATAGTATTCGGGATAAAGCATATAGTGGAAACTCATCTTTGAGGGGAGATCTTTAATAACTAGTCTAGATATAAGAAATATTAGAAGTAAAGCCGTGCTACCATACCCTACATATAAAAATATGAATGACAAATCTAGTGTCGAAATGTGGTTTGATGACAACAAAGAGAACAGTTCTTTTAAACTTTTATATTAAAAAAATTCGGGAGTAGAACACAGTATTCTAGAAAAGCATTAGAATTAGTTATAATGAGCAAAAAACTCCTCTTAGTTATAATGACTAAAAAACAGGCTAATATCCATGATGAATTTGGTCATGATAAAATATGCATTGATGGCACTCATGGCACGAATGCATATGGATATCACCTGCATACTCTATTATTAGTTATTGATGAATTTGCGGCAGGTTATCCAGTGGAATTTTGCTTCAGTAACCGTCAGGATGAAGCAGTATGCAGAATATTTTTTGAATTAATCAAAGAGAAGATGGGAATCATAGCTGCATCAACTTTTATGTCTGATGATGCACCAGCATATTATAATGCCTGGTCATCAGTTATGACACCAACAGATAATAATCTACTCTGCTCATAGCATGTGTGGCAAAGCTGGAAGAGGGCAGTGAATGCAAAGTTTCGACACAGTGAAAAACAAGTCACAGTATTTAACTGCTTGTTGGAAATTAGAGCAATTTTAGATGAAACTCAATTTTGGCGAGAAATGAACTCATATGTGAGAACCCTTGAGCAGGATGTGGATGCGCAATCATTTGCTTAATATTTTACAAAAAAAATATAAAAACAAACCAACAACTTGGGCATATTATTTTAGGAAAACCTTGAGCATTACTAATATGTACCACGAAAGCTACCATAATAAATTAAAAAGCTTAATTATGGGACAAAAATGTGCCAGGCGATTGGACAAAGCTATTGAAGTTGTGTTGAAGGTGAAAAGGATGCATACTTCAAAAGAAATGAAAGACTGCATGGCAGTAATGTTTCACAAAAGCATAAGAAAGTTAGGAAAGCTCATTCGGACAGCTTGAAAGTACCATCTAATGATGTGATTGAGATTGACCACAAAGAATGGAATGGAATGGAAAAATGCTATTTACAATACAACATGCGTAAGATGCAAAAACTGCAAATTGTATTTTCATACCTACACTTGCACATGTGCGGACTATTTTATAAGATCAAATATATATATCCATCCCAATTTATAGCCGAAAATTTATATTTATGAAAATAAAATATTTTGACTTTTCTCCGAGAAATCGTGGAATCATAGAATCAGATATCACGTGTATTTATTTTTTTTACTATTTTTTTAAAAAATAGTTCAAACATTTTCAAAAAAAATCAGAAATTTTACAGTTTTTCATATAATTAAAAATACACGTGATGTTTGGTGGGGGAGGGGGGTCTAAAAATCCTTAAAAACTCGCTCACGTAATTAATGGACGCCCCCTTATGATGCGTTTCTATGGGCTATGATGACGGTTTGATGTCATAATAATTCGTACAATACTATGAGGATAATTTTTGGACTATGTTTATGGAAAGTTATCACAATAAATTTAAAAAGCATTTTTTGGGACGCAAATACTGCAGGTAAGTAGTATTAAGATAGAGTTCTTTCACTCGGACTTGAATAATATAGTAAAGTAAGGCAAGGCATATTATTTATAAGATACACGATCAATATGTTATTTATTGATAACATTTTATAATGGCATTTTGCCTTAAATATCAATATAATATAAAGAAAAATATTTTATTAATAACTTATTATTTTTACGAGTTTTTCCGTTTTATTCTTATGGTCTTATAGTGTATTATAGCAATATTCGGCATATACCGGAACTTCTTTAACAAATTAATAATATAACAATATTAAGGTGAGGCATATTATTTATATTTATAAAAAACAAAATAAATATTTTACATATTCATACTTATCCTAATTTATCCTTATTAAATTTTAATCTTTCATTTTTAGAATATTTGCTTTGTACAATCTTATATTGTTACAAAAATGGATGTTTTGTCAAGCACGATGACTGGCAATTTTTCTGGTGTTTCTAATTGTGCTTTAGAATATAGTAATATCGAAAACTCATCAATTAGTGTTACAGACAAAATCTCTAAAGAAATTAAGCTATTTTCTTCAGATATTCAATTTGAGTATTTATTCCATATTGAAGATGGTACAAATAAAAAAAAAATATTATAAGGAAACATTTTTACAGTGTTTTAAGAAAGCTGCAATATATCCTTGCGATTTGAACTTTCGCTATGCACGTGTAAATAAAAAAGTGCCCATATTAGAGCTTATCGTCCCAAGAATAGAAATCAAAAGGAGGAAGAGGATGTTAGAAATTGCATGATATTTAATGCTCACATTAATTTTGATCCTCATCAAAAAATGAATAAAGAAATTTTAATCATACCTGAAGGTATACTTGATCATGGTACAGAAACTAATCCAATTCTTAGGTGTAGGCAACTAAGAGAAAAAGATAGAGATGATTTTAAAAAAAACTTAAACATAAACAACCAGCAGCATATTGTCTCGAGCAGTTCAAAGATATGATAACAGAATTTCCTGAATCATATGAAAATTTCGGTAAAGTATACAATCTACCTTCACAAGTTTGCATGCGTCAGGCAAAGTATAAAGAAAAGAATAAAAATGACTTCCCATCCCGACGACGACTTATGATGTTACGGGAATTGACAATACCACCAAAAAAGCAAATTTTATCTGACCTGTTAAAGATGATTCCGGTAGCAGTAAGTAATGAAGCATGTGATGTATTAAAAGGGTATTTGCAAAATAATGCAGATAGAGTACTGTATTTTGATGCGACAGATAGTTTAGTAAAAAAAACTTACTCCTTTTGTAAGAGAATATTCTTATATTCAGGTGTAATGATAGTGCCCACAAATACAGATCGTTTTACATATCCATAGATAAATAGTTTATTAAGTGAACATAATGTTAGAGCGATTGAAAGAGGTATTACAGATTGTATAGATGAATTAGGCGGTCATATGCCTTAAACATGTGGTTTGCGACCACCGCTACGCAAGCATTCATGCAATAATCCAAGGTTGCAATAAGACAAATTTGATTGATTATATTAATAAGTGCTATATGTTTTTGAATGATAATAGTTTTAAACTATTTACAGAAAACATAACATTGCATTTATGTTGCAGTCATTCCACAAAGAGACTGTCATATCATGCAAAAAAATTTGCAAATTGTAATCAGGAAATAATATCGTTATCTGTAAGCTCAATTATTTTCCTTTTAGGTGAAAGATGTAGAGATTTAAACCATGCTCGATAAATTTTCACTCATATTGTGTGAATTTTAGGTAGCAAATATCATAATGTACTAATAGATTTAGCGATCGAGGAAATAAATCTATTAGAAAATAATGACTCAATATCAAAAAGACAATCTTGACTGATACTGATGTTTCAGAAATAACAAATGATCGTGAATAATGTCAAGATCTTTTACGAAATAGTCTATTTTATAAAGATTTCCTTCATATTAAATGCAAAGCCGAAAAGATTATGCCGAAAGAAAGATTTACTAATCGTTTTTGCTTTCCAGGTTTCTTAAATTATGTAATGGACAGATATATTCCAATTATACCTTTGTGATCAGGAGTAATGCTAGATAATGACAGAAAACATTTGTATTCAAATGCTGCTGTCGAATTATTTTTCAATACATTAAAGAACAATATCTGCCATGGTGATAAATATATGAAACAGTCACATTTCATGAATACAATTAAAAATTTGTTGACGCTTTATAATAATGATTTAATAAATAAACGCCCTGTTACACAGAAACTTAATCGTGAGAAGAGCAACGAAAGTTATATTAGAAAAAAAAAAGAGGAAATGCAAGTCAGAAGAA